AAGAGAATTGCCTGAGCCCAGGAGTTGGAGGATGCTGTGAGCTGTGATGCCACAGCACTCTACCGAGGGTGATAAAGTGAGACTGTGTCTCTAAAAAAAATTTAAAAATAGGGCAGCGCCTGTGGCTCAGTGAGTACGGCGCCGGCTCCATATACCGGAGGTGGCGGGTTCAAACCCAGTTCAAACCCAGCCCCAAACAAAAACAGGAAGGAAGGAAGGAAGGAAAGATCACGTTCAATATCTTCTTAAAGTTATGAGGATTGTTAAACAAATTAAATGAAGCTAGTGAGGTATAGTAAATTTTAAATTGAGGGTGTTAATTTGAATATTATTTTCAACAATTAATGAGTAACCATCACTAATTACTCAACTGTGAAATTGTACAATTATTGACTTACTGGCCCAAAAGATCACTTCTTTTCCAAAGGGAGATAAAAATTAAATAAATAATATACCCATACTGGCATCCCCTGCCTTTCAGAAAGACTGGTCTCTAACAGGTGATACCAAAATAACTAACCAGAAATTCTAGAAAGAAGAGGCTATTTTCAATTTCCTACCTTCTCTTCTTGAACAGTAGACAATCACATCTGGCTGTGTGTAGGGGCTACCCTATTCTTTCCTTCCCTGGGCATGCGCCCTCAGCACTGTTCAGGGGCGTAAGCATACCCTCTCTCGCTTAATTTGTTTCTTGACTTTCTCACTCCTTGCCAAGGAACTCAGTTTTTCCATGAAATAGTTTTATGAATGGTGGCCAGTGTCCTATTTTAGGTAGTGTCTGAAACATTTTATAGGAGGAAGGTCCGTACAACAAAGACAATAAATAGTGCACTCACACCAAAAGGGAATCGTCAATTAACTTAATATTGAGTGTGTGGTTTTACATCATTTTGTGGGTCTCCCAAGTGATGTGCTCTTGCTTTTCCACCTTGTGCCAGGAAGGAAACAAACATGAGTGCTCACTTGCAGATAACTCTGGCAGTGGGACCCAGTAGTATGGCTGGAGATTGAAGAGACTGTCGTAGGATATGTTCTCATGTGGGAGATGGAAGAGAACATGGAGCTCATGAGGAAGGTAGCAGCGTGCCTAAGAGATTACCCAGGGAGATGTCGGAAGTCCCACTTCAGTTCTAGTTCTCTCTCGTGCTGAACTTTCTCTATAACCATGGAGAAGTCACTTTAATCCCTAAATGCCACAGCTTCCTCATCTGCATAACATCTGAATTCTTTTAGCTTCAAAAGGATATGAATTTGTGAATTGAAGTTGGTTTATATGAGCTTACTGAAGAACCTAACTGCTGAGGATGACGTGGTCTTGTCGGGAATCTGCGGAATCAAAGCCACACATGGCCCTCAAGATCCCCAAGTGCAGCCCCTCGGCCAAATCCAAACTTCACAAAACAAATCCCCTTACTAAATGGATGTGTTTGGTAAAATTTGGATTCATCAAAAGCCCACACTTAAGGATCCAGAAGCCCACATGTAGCCCCAAGGCCACAGATTCCCTTGCCCTAAATGGAGACTGTGAAACACTAGGCTTCAGGCTGGTTTATAAGTCAAGTTTAGAAATTCTAGAATTGAAGTGTGCATAACCCCTTTCTGTGCTGATTAATTGCAGACCCCAGAGGGTATAAGCGAAGAACAGAGGGCCCAGGAGATGGCTGCAATGGAAGATACCAGGATAGTAATTCTCAACAACCTTGAGGAACTTGAACAAAAGATCAAAGATATAAATGACCAGATGGATGAGTCTTCCAGAGAGGTATAAACCACTTTTATTCACTTTTACCCTCTTCCTTTTTTCTTTATTTCCTTTAGCTGAAAAATAATGCTGCTTTTGAGACATTTTAATGCTCAAAAGCCCATAATAATGCTGCATAGGATTTGGAGGTCAAATACATGGAAGTCAACACGAGCAGACGTTTATCCAGTGGTTCCATGTGCACAGTTAAATCCCCCCTTTGAACATTCTTTTTCCTTTCTTTTTCTGAAACCAGATGAGATAAACACATGGAGCTATCTTTAATGTACTCTATGCATAGCCGGATGCTGTCTTCACTAGTATGCGCTTTCTGACCTGCCATGGGATCTGTCAGCTTTGTATTTAGGTGTTCAAGCCCAAATCCAACAAATGTTTTCTGAGCATGCCTACCATTGCATATCATGTTGGCACCCTGGGGACTCCGCACATGAATCAAACATAGACTCAGCTGTCTAGAGATTTGCAAGCCAGACAAACATATATTCTATAATTGTAACAGAAGAGAGTGGCAATTTTTTATTACTGCCATGGACTAGGAAGGGGGCCATAATTCTGTCTAGGGGAGATCTGCACATCTGTTTTCGCAGATGGTGCTGATGGCCCGGTAAGGGGCTCACCTGCTGTCTTGCACGCAGACCCTGAAGCCCCTCCTGCTGCCATCGTTAGGAATGTAGAACTCAGTGGCTTCACAGGGGTAACTTTCACTTCTCATGCTCTAGGGACAGAGAAAGAAAGGCCTGCTGCTCCTGAGTTGGTTTGTGCTTGAGCCTGGACCTAAACAACAGGCAGAGTATTCTTGAAAAGTAAGCAGAAAAGGGGATATAGTAGAAAGTTACATGATAAATAGGTTTTTGTTAACAATTTTTTTTTTTTTTTGCAAATATATGCTAGCTTTCCTACACAGGGATGCAGACTCTCACATGGGCAGCCTGAGTGTTCTCCAGGCCCCAGACTCTGGCTGATGCAGTAGCACTTTTGGAAATTTGTAGCTGTTACAATTGCATCTCTAAAGTGGGCAGTTGAGAATGTCTCTGAGCTTTGTTTTGTGCCCTTAGTTGGATATGGAATGTGCTCTTTTGGATGGAGAACAGAAATCTGAAACAACTGAACTTATGAAGGAGAAGGAGATATTGGATCATCTAAACCGGAAAATAGCAGAACTGGAAAAGAACATTGTTGGTGAAAAGACCAAGGTAAAGAAAATTATATTTGAATGTGATTTTTAGGGGCAAAGTAGTAGGAGGTGGTCCCAGTTGAATGGATTTAAATGTTACATGGAATTACTGTGGCTTTAGATTTGTACATCATGTTCCTGGAAATAGGGGCACTAGAGAAAAGTCCTAAGATCGTATACATTGTCACCAGCTGAGAACTGCCAGGTACCAGGCGGTTGATGCTGAGAAAGCAGAGCCCATTTAATTTACAAGCTGGCATTCATAGCAGCTCATCCTACTTGAGATGAGTGAGTTGTTTTGTTTTGTTTTGTTTTTCCACTGGCCTTTCTGGTCTTCTGATTCCACTGCTTTTTAAATGATGTTTTTAGTATGCTGAACTCCCTTCCCACTGGTGCCCTGTCGGACGGCTTAAGCATATTTAAATAGGATTGCCTTGTTTCTTGTCATTTTTCTATTTATTAAAAAGATGAATGGAAACCATTCATCTCACCTGCCTTGCCTTGCTGTTATCTTCAATGCAAGTGCTCTGCTCTTTGAAAAATGTGCTCCAGTTTCTGAAGGGTCCTCACACACTGCCAGGTGAAAACTATCTGTGAAACACAGGTACGCTTAGGTCTTGCTTATACATTTCAGGCCACAACCTGAATGTTAGCAAGTATCTAGCAAGGAAAGCATTACATTTTAGAATTCAGGGTGTTAGTTGGATTTTTGGTTTGTGTGTTTATGTGGGTTTTTTTTTTCCTTCCAGGAAATATTATGTATTTTTCTCCTATTCTCAGTTGCATTGAGTTAAGCCTAAAACTAAAATTTAAATTATGACTTGGGGGGAGAAAAAAAAAGCTGATAAGTTTGAACATATTTTTCCTACTTATCATGTTCTCCACTAAGCTGAGGAAAAGAAAAATTTTTCGTTTGGGTAAGTTCTAGGGGTAATGTGTGGAAAGAATTTCTGCTGAATGTGACTTCCTTTTTAGGCTTTTATTTGTGTGAGACCTATAAATAAGGGCATTTGATCTGGGTGCCAGAGAATGAGCTCAAAATGATATTGTCAGAAGTGGAAGTCAGATTAAAAGCTACACGTTGATTTTTCAGTTGCCTGCATGTTAAAATCAAACGGCACAGCTTTTTCATCTTAAATGTTATGTAGGCTCATTCTACCTCCAGACTTTTAAATAGTAGAGAACCTATTTGAGTAATGGGTATATTTTTCTTTTGAACTTCAAAAAAACCAGTCAAAGGATTGACCACATCTGCAGTGAGGAGCATTCAGCTAGTGGTATATGCTTTTCACAGATTCTGCACCGACATGAGAAGCTGTAATTGGAGACATTTGATGTCTTGTTTTGGTACTTAGGAGTATTTTACTGTTAAGTACTAATTAAGTGAAGTGATCCGACAGTAATTTTATTACTATTTCATGTTATTGGAAAACTTGTGGGACATAGGAATGGAGTATCATGTTCCCTGTAAGCCCTTCTGCTTTCCTCACTCATGAAGTTATTTATTTTTGTGTGGCTCACATATGGCATGGGCTACAGATCCTATCTGTCTATCTCTCATTAGCATCAGATTCTGCCCCCAAATGAAACATATTGAGCCACTGCTAGCCGTGTTGTGTTCTCTGGACCTAAGGCAGAAGTGGATCTCCAGGAACATGGGCAGAGCCAGGCACAGAAGCCATCTGCATCCTTCCTCTGATTGTTTTGGTGGCTTGACAGAAGCTATGCACAGGAGAGGGGACTGGAGGGGCTTACAGCATAGAACTGGCCCATGCAGCTGTTAGGGGATTAGTGGAGTCTTGGAAGGTGGAATTATCATCTGTCGTCACTTTTTATAAAAAACAGTCAGACACCGGCTTTGGGTGAGGAACTCCAGAATAGGGTGAGGGAAGTGGAATGAGCACTGGGTAAGATGATATACCTGCATATTCTTAACTGAAGTCACCTAGTGACTTCACTGCTTGGATGCATATTGTGTTTCTCAAATATAAACTTGTCCTACTGTTTTATGACACAGCTCTTTTATACCTTCACTCTGTTCAAACATCAGGTCCTCTTCCCTCCCTCTGGGTCAGAGATGCTCCCACCTCCTGTTCCACAGAGAAATGAGAAGCATCCTGTCCTCACACAACTGAGCATTCTTTCCATTCCCCCCCCTCCCCAAAGACCAGTCCCTTGAATGTGCTCAGCGTGTCATCCCATCCCACCTTCTGAATGTCTTCCATCTTTCTGCGTGCACTGTCCTCTCCCCATCAGTTTCTCCCTCCTTACAGGACCTTTACTGCCAGCAGCCAACATTATTATTTAAAAAACAAACTACTACTTTACAATTTTAACATAAGCTACTACCTCTTCACTCTTCTCTTTATCCCAACTAAACTTTCCACTTTTCTCGGTATGCTGTGTCTCTTCTTCCTCATTTCTCCGTTAACTGTTGTTCTTCCTATTCTAGTTGGCTTAGCCCTGCCCCTGCTCCATCATATTTGCTCCCGCTACAATTGCTGAGACCTCAGTGCTGCCCAGCGCACCGGTGCTTTCCTACCCTCTTGATATCAGACTCCTGAGCAGCATTCAGTACAAATCATTGCCTTCGCACTTCTCCCTCCTCCCCCCATGGCTGCCTCCGTGCACTGCACTCTGCTGGTTTACTTCTGTTTCTCATTTCTCTGTGACTCTTTTCCTCTCATCTCCAGCCAGTTCTCTCGTATCCTCACAGTCTTTTGTAGCCATGACTTTAAGTACCTCGTATATGCTGGTGACTATGACGGGTTTGTCTCCAGCACACAGTCCTTTTCTGAACTCTGACTCATATCCTGGAGCCTACCTGACGTCTTCACTCAGGTATTTCCAACTGAACACACCCGTAACTGAATACTAGATCTTATTCTTCCCTTGCCTCCCACCACCGCCCCTGCCCCCCATCCTCCAGCTTCCCCAGCCCAGTAAAGTGCATCTCTATTCACCTGTCTATTTAAGCAGAAACCTAGAAATTGATCTTGACACTTCTTTGTCCATCATCCCCATATCTGATTGATTACCAAATTATTTCTCAATGACGTCAGCATCTCTGCATCTCCATGATGAGCATTCTCTTCTAAACTATTGGAATCTCTTCTTTAGTTCCATTTCCACTTGCTTCCTTTCTATTCATTCTCTCCCACTGCATTCAATGTAATTTAAAAAAAAAACAAACAAAAAACTACATCACTCTGATTATACCTGCTGCACTGTTGATAGTCTAAATTCCTTGCTGTGATCCCTCACTGTCCTCCCATTCTTCACAGCACTCTCACGGGGCCTTCCTTCCTCTTTGTTAAAGACCCATGCCCCCATGCAGTCCTTGGCAGATACTGTTTCCCCTGCTTGGAATTCCCTTGCCCATATTTTGTGTCTTGCTGGTTCTGTCTTTTAGGGCTCCAGTTTAGTGCCAGCTGTTCGGAAAAGCCCTCCCAGACCTTTCCTGTTGATTAGGGTTTCCCTGTTGTTCTTTTAGTCCTTTACATCTTGCATTTATGATTTATATTTGTTTGGAGCTTATTAGATATTTATTTTCCTCTTTAGCGTGTGAACTAGAGGCTCAGGCACTGTGATCCATTATGTATCCAACTCACAGTAGGTGCCAAAGTACTGCTAGGGCGCTCTGGGAATATTGTCCTCGGATTCTCCTGCTAACAGCCACTCCAGGCTGGGCCTTAGTGAAACACTGAGCCAAGCACCTGCCAAAGAGGTACATGCAGCCAAGTTTCGGGACAGCTGGGCCCGACTGCCCAAGTGCACCTGCCACTGGGCCTAAAATCACACTGCCAGTCAAGCCAGAGCGTAAGACAGAAGGAGGAAGTGGCCTTTGCCTTTTGGATCACGTTTCCTTTTCCATACACCTGTTGCTGTGGTCAGATATAAACCGTGGAATGAGAAAAGCAAAACCTGAAAAGATATCCCTGTTGGGCAAACTCCCATTCAGATGTCGATAGTACATCCTGTAAGCCTGGCCCTAGATTTTTAGAGACACGAGCCATAGGACAGGGTTTAATAACACCTTGAAATTCAAAGATTAATATGAAATTATTAACATTGTTTTCTGAGATCTGGAGTATTATTAATACCTGGTCTTTGGTATTACTTCTCTTAGCCGATTTTAGAACTATCATTTTATTTTATATATTTAATATAAATCTGCATATGTGATCTGTGATTACCATTTAGTATATGTTACCATAGAAAATATACACTATATACATAATTACATGCATAACATAAAATATAGATAATATGTTTTATTATAATGTATTGAACAGTTTTGTAGACGTTTCCCTGGGCTGGGCTTTACCTATCCTTAGGGAAACCACGTTGAGAACATCAATAAGCCTGTTCCCATGTCACTGTGAGCTAGCTGCTTATTTGAAGGTAAACCAGAGACGATATTTATTTGGTGAAGCAGTGAGCAAAGAAACCATTATGTTTTCTTGTAGCAAGTGAAAGGAGAGGCTTGGTGAAGGCCCGTTTGGGCACAGGCCTGGTTGTGGCACTGGCTTCCATTCCCTCTCACTCCCCGTCTCCACTCCAAGACCATCACGCCCGATTGAGAGAATGTGGATGTGTTCATGTACATTTTCTTTTTGTCCTTATTTCTAACCACATTAAAGTTTCAAAATTAAATATAGTTTTTCAACTGTATTTTTGGATTATTTATCATCTGTGCTTCCTGGCACACAAAAATCAAGTCATTTGTACCAAAATGAAATAAAGTGGTGAAGGAAACGTTCTGACCCTGTAGTCTTGTTGAAGAATCTTTCCATTATCCAGATGACCATCCTAAAGCTCAAACCACCCTTTTATGGACAGTTATTTTGTGTGTTCATACAGATACATTGTGACATTTTGTAGCCATCCTAGCGTGCATGGTTAAAAACGCTTTAGCACACTGTGCTTAAAAGGTTTGAACTGAAGCTTAAATCACTCTGTGTCATTCCACATGTTCCTGAGCGAAAGCTAGATTACCTCACTTCCTAATTGTTCCAC